AGCAGAGTTTCTCCATATGTACTAATGGCAACTTTAGAGTGGCGGAGCACAGTACATACCTTCGATGCTCTGTGGGCCCACGAGATTCATGGCCTGGTGAGCTGGATACTCCACCCGCGGCCTGGCGATGCCCAGCTGCTCCATAACACCATGGAGCAGCCTCTGCATGTCTGTTTCTGAGACCCGGTCAGAGCTCCTTGGGCTATAGGCAGATGTTGAAGTCCACCCAAATGTCAACCAAAACATAAGGCCAGGTAGCATGGTGGAGACCATCCCGGAGACCATTTTTAACCTGCAGAAATCAGATCAAACCGTATCCATCGGCCAATTGGCAACCTTGATGATGCAATCATGCGAAGTACTAATTTGAGGACCACCTAGAGAGGGGAAATTCTAGGAGTCTGCTTTTGCCTTGAATGTCCACTCCAGCTGGGACATCTGCTGTGGGAAGGTGTTAAACAAACCAAACAGTTCGAGGAGCCGGTTCCTCCTGACGTGCCTCCTTGGGAAGATCAGGCAGGAACGGCAGTTCTCAGTCATCTTTTACCCTCCTTGCAGCTTCCTGCAAGCTGGGCAGCACCCCTAACCCTGCCCCCCTCTTCCTCTTACTAAAACAAACAACAAAAATTAACTTGTTCCAATTTTGAGAAAGGGAGAGGGACATCTTGAGTCTGGGGTGGAGTGGGGGGGAGGTGAGGGAGTCTCAGAAAGAAGGTAGGAGGTAAAGAATCACAGGAAGGCTAGATGGTGGAAGGAGCTCTTTAGCTTAGCAGACATCTAATACATTGAGATCCTGAGAGGGAATAAAAACACACGCTGCTCAGGTCTGCCCTGCAATCGGGAAGGAGAGATGAAGCAAGCTTGCTCTGTCACATGCAAAATCGGGTGATTTGGGGCAAAATCCTCAGTTTTCTTCTCTGCAAAAAGGGGATGAGAAAAGCATCTGGCTTATAGGATTGTTGTGAGCAGAAGTGTGGAAATACCTGTAAGGAGGACTGGAACCATGTTGGGCACAGAACCCCTACATTGCTGTATTATGGTGGCAATATTACCTCATGGTTCTGGGCTTAGAATCTAGGCAAGGGAGTGATGCCAGGGAAGACGGACAGGTGAGAGAGGGAAAAACTACTCTGCGGAGTTGCTGTCCTAAATGTCAGTAGAGCCTGAGGCCTGCAGAACAAGGGGACACACATTCACGCAGCTTCCCTCTGCAGCTGCTGTCATGCAATCCCTTTCTTTTTACATTCTCTATGCATTTCCCCCTGAAACAGAAACATTCATAACCCTTATCTTTTTCTGTATATAAAAAAAATGCCTTTTCTAGCCACGTCCGGACACAAAACCTGTTCCCCAAAGAGCAAAACCTGCCATTCTGGCATTAAGGCCAGAGGCAGATGCCAGCTGCCAAGCCATCTCCATGTTTCCCTCCTCAGCACCGAATGCAGGATGCTTTGTTTCATTTACAGGCCAGCCAGCACAGTTCTGGTGTGACGAACTACACAGCCCCCTTCTTTGGTACCCCTTCCCTCCTGTCTGTAGCCGAACCTCCTAACCCCGCACCCATCCTTTGTCTGCCCCCAGACCCCCTCCGGCTCAAAGATTTCAGGACGCCCTTCCCGACTGCCCACCCCGAACCTTCCAGTCGGTGCGGGGGGTCTGGGGAGGTCTATCCCCAGCGCAGGACTCACCCTGGGGCAGAGCAGCCTGCGCGGTCCGGTCTGGGCCTTGCTGGGGGTTGGCAGGGAGCGGCGGTCTGAGGCTCCGGTGCGTCACACCTCTCTCCGCATCGTGGCTCCGCCCCGGCCCGCCCCCGGCAGGTGGAGGCCGCCCCGCAGGCTCCCCAGAATGAGCCAGATGCTGGGCCTCCCACCCGGAGCCACACAGCTGTCCATCGGAGCACCCCACAAGCAGGGCTCCTAGGTCCTCTCCATCGACCCTTATGGAAGTATTATAACCCACCGTTTCTCATGCCATTATCTCAACAATGTGACAGGTCTCCACTGTGTACTTTGCCCCAACAGCACATCCTTAATTCTGCCACCTTCTGGCATTTTGTGTGTATGTTTAAGCCTTTCAGCTTTAAGAAAGGGGACAATGGTAGGGGAAACACAGGTGAAGTCTTAAGAACTTTTAATGATGGCAACCACAGGGTAGGGTATATCTTCAAGGTAAGGTGCTTTCAGTCCTTTCTTTGGGAAACAGGCTATTAAATAGAAAATGCTAGCAACGTCTGTTAAAGTACTACAGTGCAAACATGGGGAAACCTCTAGAAATATGAGTTTTGAGTGTTATTTTTCAACTTACACATAAATTTCCTTGGATAGCAAATTCCCAGCACATTGCTGAAAGGTATCCAGGTAAACAGACTTTTAAGCTTTTACAGAGCAACCTTGAACATTTGAATTTTGTCATAATGCAAAAATTAAAATGTAAAACTACACAATAAATATTGTAATTTTTTTTCAAGACTGGGAATGACAAACATACCTGGGTTCTGAGAAAGTTTAACTGAGTAACTTGTTGAGTGTAGAATCCAGATCTCTTTACCTTAGCTCAAACCCATGACCACCCACAGCAATTGCATGCGATGCTGAGGGGGGACACAAAAATCACTGCCACACATGACCCTTTGGTTTGAAGCCAAGCCTCCGTCCTAGGCTTTTCTTCCATGGACAGTCCTTTCTAGCCTTTTGTTCCAGGGTATACTCACTCAAAAATACAAATACAGTTTATTAGTTCTAGGTTCAAAGGCCAAGCTGGGGGGTTAATATTTATTATTCACCCATACGTTTTTTTTTCAATTCTGAACTTTACTTTGAAATTGTTCAGTTATCTTTATTTTGTGCTTGGAAAAACGGAGTTATTACAATTTACTGCTTTTGTGATTAATGGAAATTTGATTGCAATACACCAAAGTGTGCATGCTGCATAAAATCTGAAATTTTAAAAACATCTACCACACACACACACGTGTTATATATAATATATATTATACACACACACACATATATATATATATACACACACATATATATATAAATGAGATCTCCTAGGCCTGATGATTATCAAATTCCTATATTAAGCTCTGGCTGGTGTTGTTAAGCCGTTAGGTAGGGGTGTCGAACTCAATCAGAGAAGGGGCCAAAATCTAAAATCCAGCCTAAATCGTGGGCCGAATGGTTTACTGAACAGTCATAAACTGTCATTGTGATGGAAACGCAGCGGAGTGCAGTGATGACAGCGCGGTGCGGGCCACATTGCAAGGCCTGGCGGGACGGATTTGGCCCGCGGGCCTTGTGTTTGACACATGTGGGTTAGAGCATCAGCTGGGATGTATGCAGGCGGCTACCAATTGATGTCTCTCACACTAATGTTTATCTCTCACCCTATCTTTCCCTCTCTACCTCTCTCTAAAAATCAATGGAAAAAAATATCCTTGGGTGAGGATAAAAAAAAAAAAAAATCAAATTCTTAGTGATTATGTATCCAAGCAACCTAATTTAGTTCTATGTAACTGTATTGTTTGCTTCTCATAATAATCAAATTAATATTAGATATTTACTTGTAAGAACAACAAAAATTATCTTTGAAGTTAATGTACATTGGTTCTCTGGACAATTTGCATATTAGCCATTTATTATATAGGATATACATTCAGTGGCTAGATTATTATGCATTCAGAGATCATAATAATCTGGCCACTCAGTGTAGATTTGCTTAACAATTATGCACTGAGATCATTTGACTTTTATCATTTGAACAAATATCCATGACATTGGGAACATTATTTTGTGTGTGAGATGGGGTAGAGGACAAAAAAAGAAAACCCCAGAGATTAAATCAAGTCTAAAACTCAAATTTCCTAACTGTTTATCTCCAATTACCTACCATACTTCCAAACTACTCTCTTTCAGCTAACAAACATGGGAGTGACATGTGGGTAGTTTTTTTTTTTTTTCTTGTTTTTAAAACCTCTCATTATTGATTCATCTCTCAGAAAAACCACTAATTCAGATGATTTCTACAGTTAATTTCCAATGCCTTTTTACCTAATTAATCATCCAAGGCAACAATTTCATCCCCATGAATATACTAGGTAAAAGGACATTAATGCATTTTTAAGTTTAAAAATTTCTTAGAACCAGACAATATATATCTCAGGGATTATGAATATTTTCTATCTCCAATACTAGGTAAATACCATAAACACTGAAATGCACACACAATAAACACTACAAACCTGTTATGGTCAGATAAACACCATGTTTAGATGTAGATTTTTAGTTTTCAAATAAGTCAAATACTTACTAGTTCTGAGAAAGAGTTGAGTCCCAGATAATGAAAAGACAGGAAATAGCTTTGAAAGAAGAGATGTACTGCTATCACATAGAACTCGGTGAAGCAAACATCATTCAAAGGCCTCATACACACACACACTGTGAACCTGGTTACCGAGTAGATGTGCAATGCTGTTCTATTCTGCCTCAACATCTGAATGTGGCATTCTAACAACTGACCTACAAAACTATCTCTAGTGGTCGATTCTGTCTGCATATTTCTTCCTCTAAAATTCACAGAATGTCCTCTATTGTTAATATTCCTTGCCTTAAATATTTGTAACTGCTAATTTAAAATATATACGAGTGGCCAGATTATTATGAACTCTGAACGCATAAAAATCTGGCCACTCAGTTTGTGTGTGTGTGTGTGTGTGTGTGTAGTATATATTAGAGGCCTGGTTCATGAATCAGTGCATGGTGAGGTCCAGCCAGCCTGGCCTGGGGGAGGGGACATGGGCAGTTGGCCTGCCTGCCGGTTGAACTCTTGGTCAAGGGGACAATTTGCATATTAGCCTTTTATTATATAGAATATACATTCAGTGGCCAGATTATTATGCATTCAGAGATCATAATAATCTGGCCACTCAATGTAGATTTGCTTAACAATTTAGGTCAAATTCTAAAAGGTACTTTAAATTTCACTAGAATCTTAGGCAACTCATTTTTCAGGAAGTTATCTTTAATATCTATGCTAAATAAATAACATTTACACACAAGACAAACCACTATGGGCTTTTGTATGAATTCAAAGTATAAGACTCCAAGATAGTGAGCACACAGTGCAATATACAGGTTTTGTAACATAGAAATCCACACCTGAAACCTCGTATGTTCATGTTGACCAATGTCACCTCAATAAATTAAAAAAACATACAAAAGAATCCAAGGTAAATGTGGAGGTTCATCAAGTATTTCAAAGTCTAGAATCAACCATCTGCATATAAGAAATCACCTTGATTAAAATTTTCAAGCTTATTTATTCCTCAATTTTAAAGTCTGCATTGGACAAAACAGATATAAATGTATTTGGGCAAGTTATCTTTAAAAATATAATATGGCTTAAAAGTCATCAATTATTCCTGTAGCAACACACTATATAAATACCCTTAGCATTGCTCTACTTTAGCCACCATTCTTAAGTGAATGCCCTGTATACATCTAAAAATATAATATGGCTTAAAAGTCATCAATTATTCCTGTAGCAACACACTATATAAGCACCCTTAGCATTGCTCTACTTTAGCCACCATTCTTAAGTGAATGCCCTGTATACATCTACAGGCAATAGAAACCTAATTACTTTGCCCCAAATAGGAATAAAGAATTAACATGCTATTGAAACAAGTTAATTTCTAGGGATTTGGGTAAAGACAATAAACATTAATGTAATTCAAGAAATAAGATTTGCAAGGCTTATCTATTCCCTTTATATCCTAAACATTTCTTGTAGAAACCTTATCAGACTTAGGAGGAATAACAGGAAATAGACACAACTTATCCTATTCTTCCCATCAGTTAAGACAAAAAATTCATGCAATTTTCAAAAATTAATTTCTTATAAAGCCAGTCAACAATCTTTTAAAAAGTGTAACCTGTTTTAAAACATCACAATAAAATTAGTCTTAAATATTGCCATAATTAAGGAAAAAAAGTAGTCATTTTTGAAGCACAAGAATCAAAGTTGCTTATGCAATGAAATTAAAAATCTATCATGTAACAATCATTGAGCTATAAATTAACAAGCACATCACCAACTGATTTTATTTATATTAATGACAAGTATAACATTTACCAATTACAAGTCTACAGGTTTACTTGTTGGTAGTAATTGAGCTTTTCCAATAGGGTTTTTGGGAGAACCTTTATACCAGACCCTTTCTCTTTCTGATGGCTTCCTAAGGATCCTGCTATTTATCCCAGATGATAAGCCTGTGTTATTATTTACAACAGACCTTAATATATCATGATTTGTCAGATCCTCCAAGGGACCCTTTATCTGGCCATCAGATATCACTTTTTGTTTACAAACTCTGGTTGACCCAACTGAAGCATTCATGGAGTCTGGGTGCCTCTTCATCTGTGAGAAAGATTTAGAAGTTAATCCCATGCTTGATCTTGTAACTGCATCAACATTTGACTGTTTGCATGAAACAGACTTCGGTTCCTTAGGACCTGATTGGGTATGTGAAACTGAGGAATCTTTTGACGTACTTTCTATACAAGAGGGAAGAGCACTGTCACAGCTCACTGATTTAACCAGAGGAGAAGCAGTATCACCAAGATGTGCCAATTTGTGCCTCACAGGTTGTCTGTCATACTCCAACAAAGAATTGATTCTTCTGACAGACTGACGAACAGGGGTGCGCTGAAACTTAAGAGGTGATTTAACTTTTGTCCTATTTGATTCATTTAAAGAAAGCTTATTAAACCATTGTATGTGGTCTGAAACCTTTCCGTGCTCGGATACTTGTAAACGTTCGGATAACCTTGTATCGCAATTTTCCACCAGTGACTGCTGTGTGACTATTCTCACATGCCTAGGTTTTGATAAGCTGGTTGTAACACATGTAATCTGCTCTGAGGAAGAGGTGTTAGCTGCATCCTCCCTAGAAGCTGTGCATTTCAACAAGTTCTCTTCAATCATATTCTCCTCCTTTAATTTAGTATTTAGTTTATCCCTTGGGGACTGTTGTGCTTTTACCTGTTCATCACTGGGCAATTCTTGCTTGTTTAAGTCATCATTTGGCATATCTGAATGAATGACTTCATCATGTTCCATCTTCATATGAGTTGAATAACTTTTTATAGTTGCTTTTCTATCTAATTTTTGAGATTGATGTACTGAGAAGTCTCTTTCTGAAAAATTATTTTCACTTTTACCAGTTCGGTGTTCATTTGATTCTATCACAGTCAAATCATTACTTTCAAATAGATTTTCCCCTGGGCTATATGCTATAGAAGATGTTTCATTTACTTCTACTTTCCCCACATTAGTAATTGATGACTGCTTGTGATTTATCAATGCATGAAGCTTACTTCCAGATTCCGAAAATGCTTTCTGAATTTTCACCAAAGTCTCTGTACTCAAGTTATTTTCATCCCCACTAAGAGAGCTTCTGGTTAGGTTGTCATTATGCTTATTATGTATATTAGAAGGGGTGAGTTCATATGAATTAATAGATGACTTTTCTACCATTTCAAACTCCAAACAAGAGTTTTCCACCTCAAGATTCCCTTCTCTTGGAGAAGTTTCTTTTGCTTCTATTTCTCGAAAACTTGAATTACTAGGCCCCGTCCAAGACATTCGGTAACTTGTTCCATTTAGTTGCTCTGGAGTTAATAAGTGTTCCTCAGACTTACTGACCTTTTTTGAACCTAAAATAAAACAGTTCAGGATTTTTAATCATTTATATTTGACCTAATTTTTACATTATTATCTGAGTACATAGTGAATAAAGGTACTAAGCATTTAATTATAATAAATTAAAGATTTGTGTGAAAGGACTTTTAAATGTCAAACTTTCATATTTATAAGCATCCTCCACTTGTTCACAGAAAATACATTGACAATTCCAATTTTTTTAATTTAAGATGAATTTTAAGTTTTCAGAATATATTTTATCATTAAAAAAGCAATTAAAGGTCATGTGTAAATTTTATTTCAATTAAGCTGGAAAACTTTTATTTTAAAAAACAACTGAAGTAGTACAGCCAGCATGGCTCAATGGTTGAGCACTGACCTATGAACCAGAAGGTCACAGTTCAATTCCCTGTAAAGGGATATGCCCATGTTGTGGGCTCAATCCCCAGTAGAGGGCATGCAGGAGGAAGCCAATCAATGATTCTCATCATTGATGTTTCTCTCTCTCACCTCCTCTCTGAAATCAATAAAAATATATTTAAAAAACAACAACTAAAGTAGGTTTTTTGAGTAAAACTCTAACAGTATCATATCAATGTACCTTTACCTTTCTTGGTTAATCTTTCGTCATTATCTGGGCTAAAGAGCAGACCTGTTTTTACAGATTCAATCCTACTTTCTAAACTTTGCTGATTTGCAAGTCGTCGACCAACAAGTTCATGTCTATTGACACCAGAACACCCATTCTGTACAGAAAAGAAAAATTAAAACATTTTGCTTAAAAAGTAAACCAACCAGTTAATTTTCAAAATATTAAGACAAAGTAAATTTTTTATGATTATCAAAATTCTCTATAGTTAATTAAAAATAATATAATTGAGAAACAATTTTGTACTAAATACAAATATATATGCATGTATGATGATAAAAACTAAGCATATGACTCTGCTCTTAGTTACTTTATGATGCAAGTAAAAAATTGCCTCCTATCTTCATTGACTTAAAAAAAAAAATTATGATGAGTCTATGTCAGGGTCTATTCACAAAAGTGAAAGGAAAAAGAAAAACAAACAAAAAAACCTAAGGCCAAAATCTTACCTCCATGGAATTTATATTCTAGGTAGAGAAATTTAGACTAGAAAAAAATAATCAGTTAATTATATTGTACTAGAGGCCTGGTGCATGAAAATTCATGCACTGTAGGGGGGTGTCCCTCAGCCTAGCCTGCCCTCTCACAGTCCGGGAGCCCTCAAAGGTGGGAAGCGACCGGGTGATCAGATCAGGGGAAGGCAACGCCCCCAGCATACCTCTGCTGCTGCCACTGCAAGCAGCACAAGCCTTGGCTGGCCCTGGTTACCTGAGCCTCAGGTGGTCCTGGGTGGCTGGGGGCCTGAGGGGACTGGGGGACTCTGGAGGCAGATGCGTGGAGCGGCTAGACCCGCCTGAGGGCAGACGTGGCCATGTTGTGTATCTGCTGCCCTGGCAGGGCTGAGGGGACTAGGCACCGCCATTTTTGAGGGTGTGACAGTCAATTAACATATTCCCTTATTGGCTGTGGGCACCATCATCTCTGAGGGTGTGATGGTCAATTAGCATATTCCCTCTTTATTAGATAGGATAATATATAATATAAAACATGAAAAGTGTTATGGAAAAAAGTAAAGTAGGGTACGAAGTATATGAAGTGGTAAAAAAAAAATGGGGGTATAACTTCCAACACAGCGATCATAAGATGATCTGTGAGTAAAAAAAAAAATGAGGGTGAGAGTCATGAATGTATAAGGGGTAAAAACATTTCAGGGAGAGGAAAATGCCAGTGCAGTCTCTAAGGCTAAGCCACATCTAGCATATTTGGCCTACAGAAAGGAGGCAAGAGTGGATGAAGCTGAGTAGGCAGGAGGAGGACTCAGAGAAGGCTGGGAGCAGGTTGTGTGCAGGGTTGCAGTTGATCAAAGAACTTAGTAGTTATTTTTGTTTGTGTGTTTTTTTTTGTTTGTTTTTTCCCCCCAGAGTGAAATGAGGAATCACTGGAGGGTTCTGAACAAAAAAATAACATTACTTAACTTTGGTTTGAAAAGGATAATTTGGCTAGAGTTCAGCAGCAAGGTGACCTACTAGTGGAGACTTATTGCAGTAATACAAATTCAATATGACAGGACTTAAAGATAAAAATGTAGTACTGGTGAAACTGGTCTCAATATACTCGGAATGCAATAGTTAGATAGGATTCCTAATAGTGAAGGTAGGGTGTGTGAGGGAAAGTGAGGAGTCAAGAATGCCTGCATGGCTTGGCCTAAGTGACTGAGTTGCCATAACTGGATAGTGAAGACTACAGGTAGAAGTGTGGTTGGGAAAGGCTAGAAATGGAGAAATAGAGGCAGTGAAGAAATGCATCTCAGACTTCTATTTGGGAAAGGTTACACTTGAGATGTCTACTGGATAGATATCCAACTAGGGAGGTCAAGTAGGCAGATGTTAAGAAACAGACAAATAGTTCAGGAGAGCACTCTGGGCTGGAGATATAAACTTCAAAGTCTCAAGTAAATATATGATGTTTAAAATGATCACCTTTGAGTGAGAAGAGAAAGAAAAGAGAAGTCCAAGGATGAAGCTTTGGGAACTCCAATGTAAAGGAATTAGAACAGTAACCAGCAAAAAAGGAATAAACTCATGAGAGTAGTGTCCTTGAAGCAAGAAAGTATGTTGGCTAGGAGCAAGTGATCAGCCAGGTCAAATGTTGCTGGTGGGTCAAGTCAAACAAGGGCTGATCTTCGTCTAGTGGCTTGAGTGAGGATGAATTCATGGGTGACCATGAGGACATTTGCTGTGAGTACTGAGGATGAAAGCCTTACTAGAATCGGAAAAGGAGGGACTAGAGATAGGCAAATGTAAGAGTTTGGTATGAAGAACAGTAGGGAATGGGAAAGTAGCTAGAGGAGAGGCAGGATTGAGTGAGAGGGTCTTTCAGCATCAAATCTACAGCTTCATGCTAAGATAAACATCAATGAAATGGTGATAGACACTCACTGCATCTTTGCTACTTTTCCCCAGACTAAATTTCAAACGAAGGGATCTTCGAACTTTTTCTTTACGACTGATTTTAGGAGAGAAGCACCCTGCTTTTCCTGATTCCACCCTAAAAAGAATAAAATTTAAAATATCAGTTTATAGCATAAAAAATGGAGAAACTTTTGCAAAATGAAATTTGAGGATGTCCAGAGCAAATCATATTTCTAAAATCAGTTAAGTTTTAATATAGCATATATGAACATATTGTATTTGCATACAAAAAAGATTTTTCCATCTATCACAATAGTTAGTCACTTAAAGATCAGAGTTATCAGAATAAACTAGCTTTTTAAATTAACCAGAAATTTAAAAATTATACATATCAACTTGAAGGAGGATTTCAAGCAAGTACATGATTCAAATTAGGAAGCTTTCTCTGGAGAATATATAAAGGGCAGCTGATTAATAAGGCAGAAAATTTTTTTTAAATTATGATTCTTGGTATAATGACAAAACATTTTATTAGCTATATACATCAAATATTTATCCAATAAAAGCAAAATATCTTAGATAAATTACCTGTAAATTTTTTTGCTTGCAATCCTTTTACTTCGCCGTGGTACATCTGTACTGATCAAATGATTTCCACCAATGGCTACAGGAGAGAGTGAACTCTGAGATGACACTTCTGGGCTTGTATCAAAGTGAACTATAAAAATAATCACATGTAATATATCATACACAATTATTTTCTTTTTCAAAATATAAACTGCTAATAGAGATTAGACTTAAAGCCACAAGAAAAATCATTATCATTTCTGCTTAAAAATTTTAGGGTCCAAATAACCCAACTAAAAAAAGAATCAAATTTTCTACTTTTTAGATGACAATGAAAGATCAGATTAAGCATTGCTTTCACATTGGCATTTTAAACTTATTTAAGAATATAAAGGAGTGGCACTGTTGCAGATTGGAGAAAGAGAAGCTTTCAAGGCGATTGTCTGTCTGTCTCACCACTTACTAATGACTTGAGTCTTTGAAAATGGATTTCTATAGCAAATATAAGTATTATTATAATATAAAATGTCCAGCAAAGTACCTGATACGTAATATTAAATACTATTTCTAAAAATAAACTATTGAAAAGCAATTTAGAGTTTGAGTATCCAGTATGCACCTGCTAGCCAACTGTTGTCTGACTTGAATATAACTTGTCTAATATTTTGGCAAAAAAATAATCTATAACACATGCGTAACCACTTGTCTACTGTCACGTTCCATGCTAAAAATTGGTGTTTACTACAGCTCATTTTGATAGTTATTTTAACACCATGTCATGACATTGACTATAAAAGAAATGTGGAAAAAAGTAAAAAAAATAAATAAATATATAAACAAAAGCTCCATATACATTGGCTTACATTTGAATTATGTCCAAGATATACTCCATAAGCGTAAACCTTCTTGTCATTTGTTTTAATAAAAATTCACATGGGCTCCAGAGACATCCAAGTGTATTTCAATTATAGAAATAGGAAGTAATACAACCATTACAGTGACCTTGGGGTGCGTGTACTTGGCTAAATAAAATTTTGGAGGTCAGTATAATGTATCCAATATGACACAGATAGGTTTATCCTAGGACAGCCAGAACACATGGCATAATGCAAAGTTATCACATATGTAAGAAAGAAACTGTATATAGGTACTCATGGACTTTAGATTAATACTGTTTCCTTTATACATTAAAAAAGAAGCATTTTGCAAATGAAATTTATTGAATTTAAAAAGTAGGATAGGAGAAAAAAAAAAAAAGAGTGCCCTAGCCAGTTTGGGTTAGTGGCGGAAGTGTCAGCTCACGAGCTGAAGGGTCCTGGGTTTGATTCTGGTCAAGGACATGTACCTCAGTTGCAGGCTCTAGCCCTGGGTGGGGTGTGTACAGGAGGGAACCAATCAATGTGTCTCTCTAACGTTGTTTCTCTTTCTCTATCTCTCTCCTTCCCTTCCACTCTCTCTAAAACTCAATGGAAAAATATCCTCAGGTGAGGAGGACTAATAACAACAAATAGGATTACTGTTGTTTAACCTAATGTTTTATTTTTTTAAAATCACTGATCAAACAGGTTCATACTAATGTTACAATAACACAAGAATGTTTAACTTTGTTTGGGGGAAGTTTAGAGAAAAGGATTCAGCAGATCATCCTTGGGGGACAATGTAATGCTAGTAAACAAAAGCAAGTAGAACCACACTTCACATGTGCCTTTTGGAAAAAGTTCTCCAAAATGGAAAAGCTATAGAGGGCTGCCTGAGAAGGCACATGGACATTCTTTAAGTTGTTAGCTGAGCCCAAGGTACTGGCACAGTACTTCTGTCTAGGTGTCAGCAGGGGCGGGTCTAGATATGTAAATCCAGTAATGCTAGGGCCTAGTTAAGGATGCAAATAAGCTCCTTTGACCCTATAAAATAAACCTGCAGCTTGGCTCAGTGCTCGCTGCCTCTCTATCAGAGAGGATGGCGCCCATCGAGCACCCAGCTTGATGAATCTATTTCTGCCTCTTGTCTTTTTTTAATTTCTTAATCCCCAGCTCCTCCACTCAGGAACCTGTCGTTTTCCGTGATGGACCCAGAAAACAGAGAAACAGCCCCCTGAAGAAAAGCCTTTACCTTTTAAAAACAAAAACAAAGTTACCTGAAATAAACTGAAGTCTTCAACTTCTGAATACTGAAAAAGCTATAGAGATAGCCTCAGGATTTTTATTATTATACATTAATGAACCAAGAGAACCCGTTAAGGACCATAGAGAACAAATTGCTATTGTTTTCAATTTTGAATAAAACAAGGAAAATATAAACTTTAAAAATAACAAAAGAGAGGCCTTTGAGAGGATCTAATAACCCAGCTAATGAATTCAAAATGGAACTCTTAACATTGTCAGAAACCAATAAAAATCTAAAAGAGGTAGAGATTACTCACATTTTGACTAAATGTGAAACAAATATGAGATGGAAGACCCCAGACTTAGTTATGGTTTCATTTCATTTGGGTTGACCATAGGTTATTTTGAGCCAACTGTATTGTTACATATGCTAAAGAAGCCTGCTCAACCAAAGACCACACTAATAAAAGTCTGGCATTCAAATCAGAATGATTAAATTATATTATTCCCTGGGGGCTCTGGTTGGCCACATTAGGAACTTATAGTTCATTTGGAAGAAAATGGCCGGGATGGTAAGGGATCTGGAAGTCATGCTGCAAGAAACAGTATATAAAAACTTTAATTTAAAGCTTTTAAAGCATAAAACATTAAAAATATTACAACCACCCCCCTTCCCCCCCAATGCAACTCATGATAGTTATTCCAAAGGTATACCCTACCCCACTCTGGATTCAAAGATGATCAAACTTTGAACAACCCCAACTCAACAGAAGATAGCAATATAGCTATAGCTATAGATCCAGAAGTAGAATTCAGAATGTCCAATCACATAAAATCTGAGCATCGATGCTATCCACAGAAGCCAGACTCTCCCTCCCAGCTATTTCTCATAATTTTCAATGGGCATGGCCATAAAACACATACGTGTCAATTATATAGATCAGTCTATTTTAAAATTTAGGGGACTTTATAAAAATTCAGGTTTAATAAAATATAAAGCTGTGGCTCCTCAAGGGCAATATTAACATGAAATAGCACTTTACCCAGAACAAGCACTCATGTTAATATTTACAACCCAATTATATAAATCACATTAGTTACCTGATACTGGTGTAGAACTGGTACTGAAGAGATTACTTGGCAACAACTCAAAATTAAAATTGTGCTTGATGGACTTCCTTTTCTTACTTGAGCAACCATGAGAAGAATCTACTGGCAGTTTGCGCTTAGCATTTGGTGTAAGAATCACTGGAGATTCAGACAGCTGAACTGAAAATCACACACAATTTATTGTTCCTCCCACAATGTTGATAAAATAAAAAAGCTTTATAAATTTATTCTTATAAAACTATTACTTAGGCCGAAACCGGTTTGGCTCAGTGGTAGAGCGTCGGTCTGCGGACTGAAAGGTCCCAGGTTCGATTCCGGTCAAGGGCATGTACATTGGTTGTGGGCAATGTATTGTACATACCCTTGAGGCAGCTGTTTCTCTCTCATCGACGTTTCTAGCTCTCTCTCTCCCTTCCTCTCTGTAAAAAATCAATAAAATATATTAAAAAAAACAAAAACAAAAAACTATTACTTAGGACTAAACATCAAATACATGCTATAAAACTAAATTAATACCATTAATTCCATAAAATAAAAATAAGCAAGCTATAGTAACTTGAGCAAAATATACTAAAAGATGCATAATCCACATTAAAAAATATTAACATGGGGAAATACATTATAAACAAGGAGTTAAAATAAAAATTGTTCTAAATATTATTTTTGCTTTTCATTATAACTGAGTATTAACCAGTTAATTTGTTCAATTTTGGGAAAAAAAACATATTATACTGTCTGTGATTGGGCTAAATAATTTCAGCCACAAGCAAACCAAGATTAAAAATAAAAAAAGAGAGAGGGTTACATATACTAGTAAACTTCTGGTTCTAAAACAAAAATAAAATTGAGTTATTTTTACATGTTCAATAACATATAACTTACAAGCAACAGAAAAGCATGATTAGAAGATTAAAGATAAAGTAGACTAAAATAAATTCTTATCTATAATTTTGGGTTAATTATATCAATGTAATTAGCAAGTCACAGCACAGTATTATAGTACAGTATCTCCACTAAAAATAATATTGGATTTGATTAAACCAAAATAACTCAGAAATTTTCATTAAGTACATATAACACTTACCGATTCTTTCTTGTTGAGGTGTAACAGAGGGCGTTCTGTTATATTTAAGTTTATTTAGTGCTCCACTGACAAAATCTGAAAGGCAAGGTATATAATCTCATAATCAATTATAACATTTACCCAACTTTCACCAATAATTCATATTGATATTTGTGGTTTTCTAGCATCTACATTTGTATCAATATATGTTTTTAAGGTCACTTAAGATTATTATTTCAAAATAGGAAAACACGTAAATGATATTTTATTCCCTTTCACTTATACTCTGATCTCTCTTTCAAAAAAATAAGAAATGTACAATACTACATGAAATGTGAGACAAATACTTATGATGCACAGAGAGTATGGAAGAGGAAAGCATTACTAGTTGAGAGAGAGGAGGAAGTGGCAATTAGAGAAAAAACTCTGCAGGGTGAGTAAGGCCTGGCCTGTGTTCTGAAGGATTAGTAGGTTTTGATTTGAGGAAAGGTGATCAGCATATGCAAAGGCATGTAAGTAAACACAAGATTTATATATACTAGAAACTAGCAGATCTTTTGAAAAATATTTTATTGATTTCTTTTAGAGAGAAAGGAAGGCACAGATACATTAATGAGAGAGCAACATCAAAGATTGGCTGTCTACTGCAGGCCGCCAACTGGGGATTGGAGCCTGCAATCCAAGTATGTGCCCTGACTGGAAATGGAACTGGTGACCTCTTGGTTCAACACAACCACAGCTACAATGGCTGGGTGAAACAAGTAGTTTCGTATTGCTAGAGCAACAGTGAACAGTAGATAAGGTAAGAGATAAGCCTTTTTTTTTTTTTAGTAGTATCTTGTGGCTTGTTTTTAATTCTTCCCTTTATTTTATTACTAGTAGCCCATCATGTGATATCACGCACAGTAGGCTGTCCACTGCTTCCAGGGGAGCCATGGTGCTTCCACAGGAGCTGTGCAGGTACTGCGGGAGGTGGAGCGAGCCACTGGCGCCCATGGGAACTGGGAGGGAGCCACACCACTTCCGTAGGAGCCGGGAGAAACCTGCGCTGATTCCGAGGGAGACAGGCCCACCATCTCCTCTCCCTGCCTGCACTCAGCCGCAGAGGTTGTGGGCCAGCCCCCCTCTCCATGTACCCTCCGGGCCTCACCTGCACGTGCAATCTCCTCCTGTTCGGTAGTGACCCATTACAGAGCCCTGGCCTAATTTGCATATTTCCTCATATATGTGTGTGTGTGTGTGTGTGTGTGTGTATATCCCCACTATTTATCTCCCTTATACTCTCTTCCACCTCTACTCACCACCCTTCTCTCCCAACCCCCCCCATCACATAAATATGAAACACTTCAGGAATTTGTATCATACTTGTGCAAGGGTCATGCTAATCTTCTCTGTATCATTCCAATTTTAGTGTATGTACTGCTGAAGTGAACATAAGATAACCCTTTTAAATCAGTAATAAGAGGGCTTGTGTGTCATTTTGAAAAACTTGGAACTTCTTTCTCCAAAGGCAAAACTGTCTGATCCACATCTTAGAAAAATTGCTGACAACAGTGTGAAAGACAGACCTGAGGCAGCAAGCCTCCTTGGAGGCAGGCAAACTAGCTGAAGGTTCTTCCATGTACGTTACTAAGTCATTCAACAAGTACTTAATTTGTTCCTGTAATGTGTCAAGCACTGCACTAGCATTAGAGATACAACAGAGACCAAAACAGTCTTTGCCTTTATGGAACTTAATCTCAGAGAGGAAACAAATAAGTACACTAAGGAAATACTAAATACATAATGACAAGTGGGTGAAATAGTCTGAAGTACAAATATAACAACTGAATTATACTGGGGAGTCAAAGGTGTTTCTGAGGAAGTGATAGTTGAGACCTGAAGGAAGAGTAGAAATTAGCCAGACAGCAGATGAAGATCTGACCAAGGACAAGAACAGTGGAAAATGGAGGCAGGAATAATTTAGGAGATCAAAGTTACAAGATTTGGTGAACAGTGAGATGGGGGGGAAATTCTGATTTGATGAGTCAGTAGACAAAGGTGCCACCAATAAATAATAAATAAAGGATATTATGAAAGGAAGAGTTAGACATGACCAAAAAACACTGAGATGGTTATAAATCCATTTGTGCAAAGATCTGGGCTGGAGATGTAGATTTGGGAATCATCAGCCCAAAAATGGTAGTTTTTAAAAAGACAATGAATGAGATAATAAATTAAAGAGAACAAAGCCCAGCCAGCACGGCTCAGTGATTGAACATTGACCTATGAACCAGGATTGAACATTGACCTATGAACTGGCTTACGGGTTTGCTCCCCATAGGGTATGCAGGAGGCAGCTGATCAATGATTCTCTCTCATCACCTATGTTTCTTTCTCTCCCCCTCCTCTCCCTTCTTCTCTGAAAATAATAAAAATCAATTTTAAAGATAAACAAATAAATAAAAAGAGGACAAAGAGTAAGAAGATCAAGTATAAAAGAACATTCAAGAGGTGGTCAGAAAAAAAATCCAGAAAAATAGAACAAATGACTTAGAGGCAGAAAAACCATGAAAGCATAATATTACAAAGCAAAATCAAAATTAAACAAGCAAAAAAGTAGAGGGGAAAAAAAAATCAGGAAAAACAGGACATAATTATCTAGTCAGAGATTCTCAATAATACAAGCCAAAAAACATACATTAGATTTAGCTATGTAAGAAATTGTGATTTCAACAGGAATACTTTCATGCAAAAATATACCCCGAATTTTCAATAACCATGAAACAAAAAATCTTTTAAATATGTTAATCTCCAAATATCACTCAAAATAGTTATTTAAATTCAAGCTCAGCGATAGTGCACTTATGTATTGAGAAATCTTATACTCTCAGGTGAAATATATACAAACCAGAGAATACTGAAAACCTAAAAGAGCCAAAAATAGGCAATGCTCTAACTTAGGGGTGTCGAATTCAATCAGAGAAGGGGCCAAAATCTAAAACCCAGCCTAAATTGCGGGCCTAATGGTTTACTGAACAGTCATAAACTGTCATTGTGATGGAAACGCAGCAGAGTGCAGTGATGACAGCGCGGTGCAGGCCACATTGCAAGGCCTGGTGGGACGGATTTGGCCCGCGGGCCTTGTGTTTGACACACGTGGCTTAGAGCATCAACCTGCATACGGAAGGGTGGCAGGTTTGATTTCCCATCAAGGGCATGTACCTAGGTTTCTGGTTCAATTCCTGGCCTGTCAGGATGCATATGGGAGGCAAACTATTGATGTTGTCCCTCTCATATCTCTCCCTCTCTCCTTACCCCTCCACCCTTCCTTTCTCCTCTCTAGCAATGGAAAAAAATATCCTCAGGATTTAAAATTTTTTTTAAATTACCTAAAAAGTATTATAATTAATTTCACTACAATGGATCACTGGATTTTTTTTCTTTTCCTTGGTAATATTCCCACATCATTTAGTTCATATTCCTAACTAATTCATACCACTTTTAAATCATTATCTCATACCTGGATTATTGCCCCTCATTTCTGACTATTCTCCCTACCTCCAAGTCTCAATTCTTCAAACCAGATAACTTTCTAAAATATTTTTAATCATGTTATGACTTCAATGGTTCTCTAAACTCAGCTCAATGTTCTAATTATTTAGCCTGATATTGAGCTCACTATAATCCTTAGGATGAACACTTCAAGTTGTTCTTTTTACAGACATTGATTACTTCTTTCTTACAGAAATATTTTCATAGCATTATTCTCATCTAGAGTAAGATACAAGTATTCTGGTCCTCCACCCAATCCCCCTTATCTTCTACTTTTTCTTCAAGAAGGCTCACTTTGAAGAGCCCTGTTCATTACAATCCTGAGAACTTTTCTCATTTGAACACGTTTTGTTTGTGCTGAAGATCTAGCACTTAATATTAGTTTATATTGTCATTTTTACTTTTCACATGTATATGTCATGCTTTCCTATCAACTATGCTGTAAGCACCAAAATGGCATACACCTTAGCTTCTGCTTCATGTTCAAGCAAATTTCAGATAAAGCAAATTGCTGTACCTCCCTAAAACAAACTGTCACTGCTCCTTACCGCCTACACTTTGTCTTCGCTTTCTCTTACAGTCACCAGGAGTTTCATAGTGACTTCCTTCAAAGCCTTCCAGTGATGGAGTAGCACAGAGACCGTCAATACCCAACATAGGCGGTATCTTTTCCATGATAAAATCTGGAACATGTCCTAAAGGAAAATGTTCACAATTAAGATCTTATATGCCCCCCTTACCTCGAAATGTTTCAATAGTATACACCAACTTTCTAACAGTTGTCTTCATAGTTCACTTGGAAGGATCTCCCTCACTTAAACAATCCCATTACTTAATAATGCAACTACATCTTACCAATATCTGATGCATAATCAATAAAAGTCTGTACTACTGCAGCCTGCAGTCGGAGCTTTTTTTCTGTGTTGGCAGACATCTTTTCATGTCCTTCATTTGTCTGAAGAAGGTTTGGTGCAAATATCACTGCAAGGTTGCTGCTATCCATCTTATTCTCACTGGACCTTAAATGAAAAAAGGTTTTAAGAGATGGCACCAAAGATAAAGATAAAAAGTTAAAGTATTAAAAGTGTATTTTGAAGACCTCTTACTTTTCCAGTCCAACACAAGTCATGATATAGTTACCCATCATCTACCCATCGACATGATTAGCTTGAATAAAGACAGAACCGAAATACACAGCTTCTGTGTGCTTAGATACACATAATCAAAATCATGCAAACACAGAACCCACTTTGTTTTTACACACAAATTGAACATGTTTGATTTTCAAACACAGTAAATCTGAAGTATTAGAAGGCAGGAAGTATGTCTAGAACAAGCAGGCTCATTGACAGCAAAGAGAAGAGAAATTTGAAGAGCAAAACACAAATATTGTAAAAACGCAGTAATTTGAAACCATTCAGTGGAAAAAGAATCCTACAACTACCAATAAGCTGTTCAGGCATTCATAATGATCACTACAAGGCAGAGAAGACATAGTAAATCATTTGGTATATTGTTTCTTAAATTTTACAGGATAGATTTCTTATAGTAAAGAAATACATAATATTAGAGGCCTGGTGCACAAAATTCGTGCACAGCGGGCAGGGATTGGAGGGGGGTGGTGTCACCTCACCACGGCCTGAGCCCCCAGGGGGATGTTGTCTGACTGCCAGTTTAGGCCCTGGGCATGAGGCCTAAACCGGCGGTTGGACATTCCCCTCACAATCCAAGACAGCAAATGCACCAATGACCATACTTTTCATACAGGTGAAAGGCATCTTGCTGTTGTATGGGTAGCTACATTTTTTTGCTGATAAGAAAAAGTGATACATAATACGATCCTTCTGAGGCAGTAGTAGCATTTTCCCCATCTTATGGGTAGAACAACTGAAGCAGAGAGAAGTTAAGCAATTGGCTTTGTCACATACTAACAGTGTCAGAATCAGAGCAGAACCCAAAGTGTGCAAGCCAGAGTCCATGCATGTCATTGCTGCATCATCCTGTTTTTTCAGTGTTAAAGTAGCCTTGCCAGGTTTTAATTTTTAAATCTAAGAGACTGTTCCCAATATATAGAATAGGATTCCTAGGCCTGGCTGGCAATCAGGGCCAATCTGTGGGGCAACTGGCAGGCGGGGCAATGGGGGGGGGGGGGGGGGGGGTCCCCTGCTGGCACCTGCCTGCTTGGCACTACCTGCTTACCGGCCCTGACCCACCAATCACCTCTCTCCCTCTCTCCCTCCTGCCCTCTCTCTGTCTCTCTGATCCTGCATTGGTGTCTGCCCCCTGGTGGTCAGTGTGCATCATAGCAACCAGTCTTCTGCTGTTTGGTCAATTTGCATAGAAGGGTTTTATTATATAGGATTTTTAAGAAAAGTTTCCACTCCAAATGAAATTTTATTATCTATAAGAGTAAATCCAGTTAGTTGAGTAATTAAACTCTCATTTCCCACGACTTTTAATTACTACTTACCTAAGAGAAACATTCCTGAGGAAATTAAAGAAGTATCTTAATATGTCGATAGTGTGGTCAGGCATAAGACAGGAGAGTAACAATGTAGCTTTATTCTTCTCTTCTGTTCCTAACTGTTGAGCTTTGAAAAGTGCTTCATGTAAATCAGCTGGGAGTATAGGCTCTGGCAGTTCCCTAAAAAACTGCTTAAGAAGTCCTGCAATGTCACAAGGAAGTGCAGAAGACAGGCCACTTTCACCATGATCCAGTTTATTCTGAAATAGATAAAATAATCTTGAATGTTTGGGGGCTTACGAGTATATTGCAAAAAAACTATCCTTTCTTATACTCTAAAAAGCTTTCTTTAATAAATTTCTTTTAACTCTTTCTTTAATATATCTCCTTTTTAGAAGGTTAAAATTAATAAAATTTAATTTTTTTTCAATTATAGAAACTAAGATCATGAATTTGAAACTACTCTTTCAAAGCATTTTATAATCAGCTTAATTATGATTTCACAGTGTATATGTAAATCAAAACATCAAGTTGTATATCTTAAATGTACTGGTGAATTATACTTCAATAAAACAAAGTGGGGGGGGGGGGCATCATAGAAATGATTTAATTTTTTTTGGAAAAAAGTTCTGGCCGAAACTGGTTTTTGGCTCAGTGGATAGAGCACTGGCCTGTGGACTGAAGGGTACCAGGTTCGATTCCAGTCAAGGGCATGTTCCTTGGTTGCAGGCACATCCCCAGTAGAGGGTGTGCAAGAGGCAGCTGATCGATGATTCTCTCTCACTGATGTTTCTAGCTCTCTATCCCTCTCTCTTTCTCTCTGTAAAAAAAAAAAAAATCAATAAAATATATATATTTTTAAAAAGTTCGTCTGCCATGAAAAAAGCTATTTTCAAATTCAAGTTCTGTCAATAATTCATGTAATACTTCTAAATAGTTCAACTGCAAAACCACACCAAAAATATGGCACCAAAAAAAAAAAAATGACAGTTCAAGAATATACTTACCTTTAATGCTTTTAGACGAATAACAGATCCTGATTTCCTAAAAAGCCCTTCTGTATGAATATGCTCTTCTAGAGATGTGCAAACATCAACAAGAAAACTGAAATAGAAAAACCTTTTCAGGTGGCCAGAACACATCTTTTTAAGTCCCATTATTCTGACAAAGTACAGGAGCAGACCAGGCACTACACCTCTTTCAGAAGCTCTGATGCTACAAATCCCTTTAATCTGTAATCGTTACTTGCTTCCTAAATTCTTCTCTAGGAACCACCATTTTACCCATGGACAACTTCAATAAACCCACTTAATCCTACATCCTTCTCAGTCCTCTGTTTCTCTGCTTTCATTCAGAGCACAGGAATTTTCTTTCTTTTTTTTTTTTTTTTAATATATTAATATTTTATTGATTTTTTACAGAGAGGAAGGGAGAGAGATAGAGAGCTAGAAACATCGATGAGAAACATTGACCAGCCACCTCCTGCACACCCCCTACCGGGGATGTGCCCGCAACCAATACATGCCCTTGACCGGAATCAAACCTGGGACCTTTCAGTCTGCAGACCGACACTCTACTACTGAGCCCAACCGGTTTCGGCAGGAATTTTCTTCTGCACTGCCTCTACTCTTCCTTCTTTCATATCCCAGTCTCTCCTCCACCCTCTCCAATCAGACTCTTAGTGCCATTACGCAAAAAAAAAAAAAAAAAAAAAAAAAAAAGCACTCTCGGAGTCACCAATGGCCTCTGCTTTGCCAAATCCACGGTAAATTCATTGTCTTCATCTGGTTTGTCCTACCAGCATTAACACACTTGACCACTCCCAGCTCATTTTAAAAATACCTTTTCACTCTTTTGGTTTTCCTACTGACTCCCTGACTGCTTCTTCCAAACTCCTTTTCTGTCAGACCTCTACATGCTAGGATGACCCAGGGCTCTAAGGCCTTCTTTTCTTCATTCTCTCCCCATGTGTGATCTTGCACAGCAAACACAGCTTAAAATATCTACAATCTACTTACTACATAAGCCCCAAAATAAGGCAAGGATTTTTCCTCAATCCAACAATATCTCTCAGAAAATCAAATACACCCCAGTCCTTACAATCTTTTTCATATTTAAAGGTGTGTGCTCAACTTTTATATTGAACAATTTCTAACAACCAATGTTAGTTTCAGATGCTTAGCTAACAGCTGGTACCAATAAATTAGAATGGATATCAGCTGTAAAGCAACTGATAAACGTTGCATTGGTGCACAGTGCCTAAACATTGCAGAGGGTAATTAACAGAGTAGTTTGTTGTTTTTAGCACGCAAAAGAAATTATGACTAAGATGTAGTCATTATTACTGGGAATATGACTTTGCAGTTCTAAATGTTGAAAATCCATATAAACAAACCTTTTGCAGGTTATTTAAAAAGCAAAATACTAAGTGATTATCTTAATGAAGATTATGAATCTACACCTACAATCTCAGGGAAAATGATTCTAAGGTAGCAAGGTGTTCAATAAGTGCTTTTGGATGATGCATCAATTAAAAATCTAGGTTACTGGACTAGAGTAGGCAGAATGAACCATACTTTGGACAGAGAGAAAAATAATTAGAAAGAGTTAAAACAGTTTATTTAAATGCATTTAAAATATTTTCTTAAGATGTAAACTTACCTAGTAATTTCTGATGCAGTTAGTCCAAAAGATTACTTATAAATAGTAAGCAACATAAAAAATATTCTTTTACCCAACTTTTCTAAAACAAAAATATCAATACTTTAGCTGAATTGGTAATTTAGTATATTACTGAATATAATTAGGATTGTGGCAAAAGAATTGGTGTAGATCTGAAATCTCTCATTTAATAGAACAAAAATAATTTGCTGCTGGGACCGGTTTGGCTCAATGGATAGAGCGTCTGCTTGGGGACTGAAAGGTCCAGGGTTAAATTCAGGTCAAGGGCATGTACCTTGGTTGCGGGCATATCCCCAGTAGGGGGGGTGCAAGAGGCAGCTGATTGATGACTCTCTCATCGATGTTTCTAACTCTCTCTATCCCTTCCTCTCTGTATAAAATCAATAAAATATATATTTTTTAAAAAATAAAAAAATAATTTGCTCTCTGACATTTACTCATTACTAAACCTTAAAATTCAATCCTGGAAGTAAAAATTAGTATATAAGTACAACCAATGGACATGGAACTCTGGGGAGGGAGGGGATGTGTTGGAGGGAGGGAGGGAGGGGGGAAAAATCAATAAAATATGTAAAAAATAAATAAATAAATAAATATGTAAAATTTTAAGCAAAATTTTTTTACATTACTATTGTGAAATGAAATCATCTGTTAATTTAAAACAAAAGTGTAAGTTAATCAACTATTTATTTTTAGACATTCAAACATCACTTTGAAATAGTTATTCATTTCAAACTTTGCTTACCTTGGAATGTGTCCATATTCTGGTACAACAGAATGGGGCAATGCATTAAAAGGTACTCCAAATATTTTACCCTAAAATGACAAATTTAGTTACTCTAACACAAATATTAAGCATAATATGGATTTTCTTAAACATTAGGGCAAATTAAAAACCTCAGCAAATAGCCGAAACCGGTTTGGCTCAGTGGTAGAGCATCGGTCTGTGGACTGAGGGGTCCCAGGTTCAATTCTAGTCAGGGGCATGTACGTTGGTTGCGGGCACATCCCCTGTAGGGGGTGTGCAAGAGGCAGCTGGTTGATGTTTCTCTGTCATCGACGTTTCTAGCGATCTCTCTCCCTTCCTCTCTGTAAAAAATCAATAAAATATATTATAAAAAACAAACGAACAACAACAAAAAAAAAACCTCAGCAAATAAATAAAGATAGTAGAGCCAGCTGGTGGCTCAGTGGTTGAGTATCGACCTATGAACCAGGAGGTCAGTTTGATTCTCAGTCCGGCACAAGCCCTAATTGCCAGCTCAGTTCTCGGTAGGGGGAGTGCAAGAGGCAGCCCATCAATGATTCACATTGTTGAGGTTTCCTCTCTCTCAGCCCACCTCTCTGAAGTCGGGAAAAAAAAAAAAAAAAAAAAATATATATATATATATATATATATATATATATATTTTAAAAAGCAAAAGTAAACTATAGATCAGTCAAGACAAATTCAGCAATTCTTTCAAGTACATTTTGTAAAAAAGTAACTACCTTATGCTAGATGCTAAGAGTACAATGATGGCAAAGATAAAGTCAGTGCCCTCAAGCAATGTGGTAAATTCCATTGGTTTCTAAAGCCACAATGGAAAAATCAACCCAGTTAGTGCTTAGTCATGAAATTCTTAAATAGATTTGTACCAAAACACTAAGGTTTCTCCTCTAAATACTACCTGTTCCTCCCTGTCTGGTTTGGCTCAGTGGATAGAACTTAGGCCTGTGGACTAAAGTGTCCTGGTTTTGTTTCTGGTCAAGGACCTGGTTGTGGGCTTAGATCCTCAGTAGGAGGCAGCAGATCAATGATTCTCTTTTTGATATTTCTCTCTCTCTCTCCCCTCTTCCTTCCTCTCTGAAGTCAATAAAAATGTATTTTAAAAAATACATGTTCCTTCAATGACCTTAAAAATACTGACCTTATACCTTCCTTCTGGCAACCTTATAAACACTAATTTGAATAGGAGGCTAAGTCGATTGATAATGGTAATTCCTGTCATTCATTGGGTACTTCCTAAAATTCCACCAGAAGTGGTTATTTTCAGACCCAATTACCTTTTACACACTCTGTGGAAAAGTGCTATTCAAACTACTTTCTGAGTTACCCAAAAATAGGGATTCCGCAAACATTTAATTGAAATTTCATTTAACTACTTTAAAAACCATTTTAAATATTCACAGCATTCAAATGTATTACTCACATTCAAAATTTAACACACTGAAAATCCCAAAAGTAAAATTGTAAATGTCAGTTAACTTGCATGTTTGTACACACCTTGCCACTGTCTTCATGCACGCATTCAAACCTCTTAAAAAATGTGTCACTGAATAAGAAAGTTGTAGCTTCTCATTGGACTTAAAATAAATTAAAGCCTGTATACGGTATGTGTCTACATATACAAAAATTAAATAAATGGGTATACCTAATCTCACAAATGTTAATTTAGTTTACATAAAACTGCTCTCCAAGAACTCTCGTGAAGCACTTATATTTTAAGAACATCTTATTTAACCTTGTATTTACAATGAGAAACCATTCAGCATTGTTCATGATTCAACAGATTAACAAAATTTCACTTTTTCAAACACGTAGCTCCATTTAATTGAGGAATACAGAAAAGACAGTCCTATATAATAAAGAGCTAATATGCAAATGATCACCAGGCCTTTGTGCCAGGAGACCTGAGGCCTGGAACCCTGCCCTATCGGGCTTGACAGGGGTGGGGCCAGCCAGGTCTGGGTCTCCAGGGGGTGGGCAGTAGGAGGGAAATTTTCATATACATTTTACTCATTTTCTTTCATCTCTGACACTTCTATTATAGAGAAAGGGCAAATAGCAATATTTCCTCTAATTATTTTAATGCATGAATTTCATGCACTGGGCCACTAGTTTAGAAGGGAGAGGGAGAGAGTTAGAAACACTGATGAGAGGAACATCAATCAGCTGCCTCTGCACATCTTCTACTGGGGATGTGCCGATCCCTTGACCGGAATCGAACCTGGGACCTTTCAGTCTGCAGGCCAGCGCTCTATCCACTTATCCAAACTGGTTAGGTCAGGACTGCCAGATTTTAAATACTGGCTCTCCCATTTATCAAGTGACCTTGATCAAATTAACATTCCCTATGCCTCAACATCTCCACATAGGTCCTAAATCTGATGCAGAATAAGCATTTAAAGAATATTTGCTGCTGTTACCATTACCATTTCAAAGAGAGCTACTTAAAAAAAAAAAAGTTAACACAGGTAACACACTGTCTGGATAAGTCAAAATTCTTTTGATACTGTGCAACCAAACAAAATATCCCCCCTACCCCCGCATTATTCTCAATAATTTGGCTTCACAAGTAACTGTTAAAATGTAACCTCATAAAATAAAGAGCATGCTTTTTAAAATTCTATGTATTGGAATATCACTTATAATACCACCTTAAAAGATTTCTAGTTCTTTAAAAAAAAAAAAAAAAAAATCAAAACTATAATTAGCCAACCAACCCCAAATAAGAAATAGTTTTCAATTACTATCTTGTGAGACCCTACTCATATTAACACTAGAATCTTCTGTATTTCCTCATTAGAATATTTTATTAGTGTTTCAAGTGTGACACTCAGGATATAGACCATTTATTATCGTTAACAACTATAAGAGGGGTGGAGGAGGGTAGGGGACTACGACGACAAGGCACCTGGAGATATTTTTAATTGTTACAACTAGGAGATGCTACTGGCATCTTGTGGGTGGAAGTCAGAGATGCTGCTAAACATCCTACTATGCATCATCTACCTCAAAATGTCAAGCTGCTGGGACCGAAAAATCCTGCAACTTTCTCTCAGTGACCAAAAAGCCCTTGTAAATAATAAGAAGCGTCATTCTCTTAAATTTCAGCCGTTGGCTACTTGGGTCGAATTGGACACAATTAAGCACCTTCTCTTTTGGATCCATACAAAATGAACAGTTTTGGCATGACCTGGTAGTGACAGTCAAGGTGAGCTCCCCACCGCGTCCCCTCCGCGGAATCCCCCCCAGAACTCACCACTGCGGCCGTGGCCTCCGGGTCCCGTCTCCTGCGCTCGCACTGCCCGCGGCCACCTTTGACCTTGATGCCGTAGACAGCCCGAAGCTGCTGCAGCAAGGCCAACCTCACCAGCCTCGGATCCCACATCCCGGAGGCGCCGCCCGCTCTCCGAGGCCGGATCCGAGTCCCGAACCCCGTTCGCCAACAAGCCTTCCAAGTCCGGCTCCCGCCCCGGTGTGCGCTCCGCCTCGCTGCTGCTCCGCGGCCCCCGGCACCGCTCCGGCCCCGGCCGCCAGCCACCTCCACGGCTCCCCCGGCTCCTCGTCCACTTCCACCAACCGTCTTCCCCTAAGGATGCGATCTCGCCACGCCTCACCTTCCCTTCACTTACGCCAGCCTTCTTTCTGGTCACACGACCCTCTCAGCTCCTTGCAAAGACCTCCCTTCTTCCTCCCCGACCCTTTCGGTTCCCGGGACCAACGCCCGTTAGCACCTTCTCACCACTTCCGGCCACCTTCGAAGCTCCCCCTTCCCTCCCGCCCCGGCTTTGCCCACGCCTCTCCCCCAGCTGTGAAGACTTCTGGCCCCTTCTGCCCCGGCAGGGTCAGTGGAGTGTCGGTCTCTGTCCCCGCCCCAGACCGCCGGGCCAGCCGGCTGCTCAGGCGTCTCTTCCAGTCCCGGTCCCCGCCCGGGCTGGTCTCCAGCGTCACCTCGTCTCACAGGCTGCCCTGCCCTCCCCCATGAGCCCGCCCGCGGCCCTCGGCCTGCATATCCCCGTACGCTCGCGGCAACCAGAAAGCCGCCCTCATGCCGCCCCCCGACGCCTCCGCAGACGCCCCGAGCCACTGTGGTCCCACCGCAGTCCGCCGCAGCTCAAATGGCAGCGCCAAACAGCGCTCCGCATTCTGATTGGCCCGCTCCGGTTTTCAAAATCAGGACCTCGGAGGGTGGCCAGGTGCTGCCTGTCTAGTGAGGTGCGGGCAAAGGGGAGACTACCAAAGGGGGTGCGGAAAAAACATTGTTAAAGTAGGAAGAGAAATATAAGTTCCACTAGCTTCTTCATAGCCATAGTTTAGAGGAAAATACTTTATAAAACTACTTGAATAGATTTGGCCGGCTCCTACGACAATATATTTGGGGAAATGTAATAGACACCTTATCTTCTTTTTTTTTAACTTGGGTAAGGCGGAAGGCCCCCCTACGGAGAAATCGCTTCTACGGAACCCGAGTTGGGACAAGTGCTGTCAGGATTCACAAACGCTGAGTTTAGTAAGCCTTAACCCGGGGCGTTTGGTGGAAATTTCGGCTACGGAAACTGGCCCAATTGGGAGGACTGATGGTGACGCTCAAATTCTTAGCGCACCAGTAGTTAAATGTAGCGAAGAAAGCCTGTCAAGAGAGACTAGAGTGCAGAAGGGATGCGAGATCCGCGGGAGGAAGCTGCCGCAGGAGCTGCGCGGAGTGGGATAGGAACGTGGGGACTGGGGGGAACCCCGGCGTCAGCACCGCTGGAACCTCGGTTGTGCTGCTGACCACCAGGACTGGACAAGTCCTTGTCCCCCGCTCCCCCGCCCCCTCCGCTCCTCGCCGCTTTCCATTCTGAGACATCACATCGGCAGCGATCCCATCAGGATGCTCTGAGATGAAATTATTTCAGCCGCCTTGGACGTGATCTGTTTGCACGCCTCGCCTTTCCTCCTCTAGGTCTGAGTCCCTTGAGAAGGCTGGAGGCAGGTTCATGTTTACTTCCCACAAAATGTAGCCCAGAACTTTGAATTAGGTTCTCATTGAATGCCTTTTGAATGAAGGAAGGATTTCAATTAACAAGGGCTTTCAGCTACCACGCTTATACAGTAGGATAAACAAACAAAACACCTTGAGAATGAAAATTAAAAAAGACTCTGCCCTGGCCGGTTTGGCTTGGTGGATAGAGCGTTGGCCCGCGGACTGAAGAGTCCCTAGTTCGATACAGGTCAAGGGCACAATGCCGGGTTGCAGGCTCAACCCCCAGTGGGGGGCATGCAGGAGGCAGCCAATCAATGATTCTCTCTCATCATTGATGTTTCTCTCTCCCTCTTCCTTCCTCTCTGAAATAAATAAAAATATGTTAAAAAAAAAAAAAAAAAAGACTCCAAGTATGGGAAGAAGGCAAGCAGGAGGGAACCTGTATACCAACCTGGCTATGTGCACAGACTCCAGATCCCTAGGTCTGTGCAGTGTTAAAAAGCAGATACCTCATCAAATAAACATGTGGATTTAAACCAGTTCCTTTGTCTCGGGTTCTCCAGGGGCCTCTCATACACCATTATGCATTAGGACTTTCCAATAAAAGGAGGGAATTGGGCTGCACGTCCTAGTATTTGATTGCTGAATTATTTTCTGTCTCATTATTTCAGAGCACTAGGTTGGTGTTTGAGGAATAAGCTTTGGTGCTCGATGCACCATATTCACCATCCTAAACCACTGAGAACACCCTTCAGGACTGCTCTTCTCATATGTATTGGGCTTTTCCATCTCTGCACTCACACTGACTCCAAGGTTTAGCCAAACATTTCTGTGGTCCCTTTGATCTAAGAAATTTGGGCATAGTTGTAGGTTATATATTTGTATGTGTGTGTGAGTGTTTTCATTAAAAGAAGGAGAAAATACAGTGGATATGAGGAAAGTAATGGTTTGAAATCATCAAGGGCCTTTCAAGGGTGGAGAATCCATCAGTCTAAAGTAAGGGTGTCAAACTCAATCAGAGAAGGGGCCAAAATCTAAAATCCAGAGTAAATCGCGGGCCGAATGGTTTACTGAACAGTCATAAACTGTCATTGTGATGGAAACGCAGCGGAGTGCAGTGATGACAGCGCGGTGCGGGCCACATTGCAAGGCCTGGCGGGACAGATTTGGCCCGCGGGCCTTGTGTTTGACACATGTGGTCTAAAGCATCACTGGCAATTCTTGCTTGACCCTTGAAATAAACAGACAAGGATAGGGAGGTTTATGCCACTCTCCAGAATAAGGCAGGGGTAGTGTGTTGTTTGGGTTCTCCAAGAAGTAGACACCCAGACAAGATTAGATGTGCAAGAGATTAGGAAGAAAGGAAGAGAGGGAGGGAAGGAGGGAGGGAGAGAGATTGGCTAGAAATAACCTCAACTACAGCACAGTTCTAAGAAATATTGGTCAGGCTGATGGGAAGCTCCTCAGCTACTGTCACATGTTGGAAGAGTCTTGTATCCCACAGGAATGGGCCAACATTAGTACCCCTCAGTCATTTTCTGGTGCAAATGCCTTGGTGGATCCAGAGGGCCAGCATCTGGGACTCGCAGTCAGTTATTCTCCTTGCAGCAAAAAATCTGAGTGGTAAATTTTTATGGACACTAGGGGGAATGAAGTCAGATGACCATGGTTTGAATTCCAGCTCTATTACTTAATTACAGGAAAGTTATCTAACATAATGCCTCATCTGTAAAATGGAAATTATTAAAAGAGTTGTTATGAGAATAACATGACTTGTGTGAAATTCTGAGCATTTTGCCAAGAACACTGAAGATTTCAAAATGTTAACTATTCTTATTATCACAGCTAGTTGTAACTGGTACAAAGTCAAAAGTCTCAGCTTAAAGGAAATTCTGACAGCTGGATAAAATGCTAAAAAGTAAAAGAAAATATTTATTGGTGTGCCATACTGTGTGTGCAGAACTCTGTTCTTAGATCTTACTTTTTTAAAAATATACTTTTGTTGATTTCAGAGAGGAAGGGGAAGGGAGAAAGAGAGAAAAACATCAATGATGAGAGTCATTGATTGGCTGCATCCTGCAAGTCCCACACTGGGGACCCAGCCTACAACCTAGGCATGTGCCCTTGACCAGAATCGAACCTGGGACCCTTCAGTCTGCAGGCTGATGCTCTATCCACTGAACCACACCAGCATGTTCTAGGATCTTTCTAATGTGATCCTTTCTCTCTGCTCTTCAGAACTAAGTTATTTTCTTCCGAATTTCACTTCAAACATTTATTGAGGTAATATAAGGGAAAGGACAGCATCCCCATTTCCTTGCTAGAGTGACATGGCTGGTATAGGGACCCCCTCCCCCCCTCCAGCCTTGAAGAGTTTAGTGTGTTTATTCATTCTGTGTGCCTTCTACAGACATTAATGATGCTGTAAACAAAGGAGAGTCCCAGGCTCAGTAGAGGAAATTACAGGATATTGAAAAGGTCATGGCAGTAAAGCATATCACTATAATCCACAGAATATATGAAGCATTAAAACACCAGTGCCTTCTGCCCTGCGGGTGCTAGACCTGCTGGCACCTGTGATGCCAGGGCGTAGAGGAAGTAGCTATTGTATTTCTACGCTCGGTACTCAGAACAGTGGGCACTAAGAATGGTTTGTAGCCTGACATGCCAAAAAAACAAAATAAAACCAAACAAAACAAAAACACCAGTGCCTTGATTTCTGATGAGAATTTATGGGGGATGAGAAAAATAAAGTACATCAGTGCATTTTTATGGTCAAAATTAAAAGTGGGGTAGATCCACTTAACCCCTGCCAGCAATCTTAATTTCATTGAATTACCTTCTGTGTTCATGGAATTCTGTGTCTATGGAACTCAATGTGATGGGGAGCAGTTACTGTGTTGGAACCTTCCCTGGAAACAAAAGAAGTAGGTGTGTGATAACAGACCCAGCTGGTGAGCCATCTTCACACATATGAGACCAGGCTAATAGGTAACTGGGAGTTAATGGTTTCTCAAGGATATAGGGCACCTGACCTCGTGGGTCTGCGATGTTGACTCGCTCAAATGCATGACCTGTCTCTGTCCTTCCATGGGCCATGCAGCAGGGACAGCTCTACACTGATTCTCTTCCTCTGCACCACACCAAGCAGAAATGGTTTTTCACTAAAGATAGTGGCTTCGCAGCCCAAGAAAAGAGTTATCAGAGAGAAACATGAAGCTATGTGGACATCTCACATTCAGGCTAGGGTCCTTGATACCTACAGGAATTCTGAGTGAAGCAGCTATGGGGCCTGATTTTAGCACTCTTTTTAGGCAATACTCCCTATGAAAATTTACCTAGGAAAGAACTTATTCATCTGTACAATCTCACAACTAAAATTGCTAGTGGTGTTACTGTCTAACCTTCTGCAGAACTTAAATTATTCTGCCATCTGAACAGCTCCATCAAGGGAAGAGGCAGAGGGAACTAATATTTATTGTATAGAATATGCCTGGCATTAAGCCCTACAGCCTCTCTAGGAAATGGTACTATCCCCATTTTACAGGTGAGAAAACTGAGGCTTAAAAAGGTTAAGAAAACTGTATATGGTCCTAAGCTGTTAAATAGCAGGACAGAGATTCCAATTTGGATCGGCCTGGCTGCAAAATTCATGCTCACTGTAAATCACACAATTCTTATGGGGGACATCGGTGACCTTGAAAGCAGCCTTCATTCAAAAGCCACCACTTTTTTATTTGAGTGGTTAGATTGAAAACCTTTCTGTCTAACAACATCTTTCTCACTAATCTCTAATTTTCTATTAGGGGCTGGTTGCTTTGGCTTTAGTTCTGATTTTCTTTTATTTATTTTTAAACATTTTTTATTGATAATAGTATTATAGATATCTCCCAGTTCTCCCCGCCCTTTTCCCTCCCCCTCCCAGCCCCTACCCACCCACCCCAATGTCTGATTTTCTGTTAAAATGTAAATTATCCTGAGTAATGAGACACTGTGAATAACTGTTTCAGGAACTTTATTTTCTTAAGGGAGACCTTGTTAGCATTAGACAGGGGTCACTTGGGGAGCAGAGTGGTTTATAGAGAAAATGGAAGAAGAAAAAAAAGGAACAATGGGAGGTGTCAAGTTAGTGCATTTATTTCAGAATTTAAATGA